GTCCGAAGGTGTTACAGAGGTCTTGGATGGTCAGTCTACAATCTTGCAGAATCAGATCCCTAACTTTCGTGACATTTTCTGGTGTTTTGCCCATTGACGGCCATCCCGAACGATCGTCATCATCAGTCGATGTTCAGCCATTTTTAAAACGCTTATACCAGTTGTAAGTTTGTGTCTGGCCTAAACTGTTTTCACCAAAAGCTTGCTTCAACATTTGGTGTGTTTCTGCAGCGGTTTTCCAAAGTTTGAAACAAAACTTTATACAGACACGCTGCTCTCTCAGGTCAGCCATCACAAAACCGCAAACTCACGGAAACACAACAATGGAAATACGTTCACCAACAATAAACCCAACCACTCAACTCGACGCCGCTTGCCACACTGATTCAAGAAGGATGTGTGAGGAGACACCTAGCGGTATTTCGATGTACTCATAACCATTTGCGCGCAAAATTTAAATTTCGGAAACTTTTGGATTGCCCCATGTACAATACACTTTGCTGTAATTACACAAATCAATCACATTAATTTCTGCATACCCAAGTTCTGCTTTCTTGCGTTGCTCCTCTGCATATCGCCTCTCCATCAACAGGTGTTCCAGCTTCGCCCTCTGCTGCATGGCCTCAGCCTCCTCCTTCTGCAGTTCCTCTGCTTTCTTTTCCTTTTCTCTGTGACATATAAATTGTAATCTCTGACATTCAGTCTTCATTTGGCTCAGAACTTAAGTTGTGTAAGATCTGTGTTCAGTTTGCAGTCACTGCCCTGCAGGCTGGCTAGCTAATCCCCTAACTGTATTAACTAATGCACTATACTAACCAAACTAAGGGACAATAGATCACTGTGGTCATGATGCAAGGGCCAAAAGGCTCACCACTTATACATTCATACTAACCAAACTAACTAACCACATAAATTAACCAAACTAAACCAACTAATTTCACTTAGCTAATTAACTAACATAAAAGAATCCTTCTTGAGAAGATAATAGGCCCTCAGTTACTTAATAAATTCCCAGGTTTTTACAGAATCCAAAGATTCATTACTACATTCCTTCTACTCTTTAGATGAATACTTCAATGTAAATAGAGAATGATGTAAAATTAAGTTATATTAATTTTTAAGCTAAAATTGCCTGTACTTATGTATGTAACCTTTTGACTTGTTCTGTATCCAAAGGTACTAACCTGCTTAGGATTTATAGAATGTAAATAAATTCAGTTCAATTCAATTCACAAAAGTGCACCACTGGCATTTATGCTGAGCTCACCAATGGACCATGTCCATTTTTATATTATCCTTCCACCTATGCCTAGGTCTTCCAACCAGTCTCTTACCTTCAGGCTTTCTTACTAAAATTCTGAATGATTTCTTGTTGTTTCCATGTATGCTACAAATCCTACCTACCTCATCTTCTGTGATCTCATCACTCTAATACAGTACTACTTCACTCACTCATGGTGCTGAGCCTTTCTTGAGGAGCCACCAAGTCTGCAGCTACTGAAGAATTTCCCAGCATTTTATGAAACCTGAAGGTTCATTACCATGCTCACAAGAGCCCTCCACTGGTCCCTATCCTGACCCAGATCAATCCAATCCATACCATCTGATCCTATCTCTCTAAGATCCATTTTAATATTATCCACCCACCTACATCCTGGTCTTCCTAGTGGTCTCTTTCCTTCTGGCTTTCACACCAATATCCTATATGCACTCCTCTTTCCCCCATTCATGCTACATGCCCTGTCCATCTCATCCTCCTTGACTTGGTCATTCTGATTATACTTGGTGAAGAGTACAAGTTACGAAGCTCCCCATTATGTACGTAGTTTCTTCCAACATCCCGACACTTCCTCTCTCTTCTGTCCAAATATTCTCAACACCTTGTTCTCGAACACCCTCAGTCTATGTTCCTCCCTTAATGTCAGAGACCAAGTTTCACACCCATACAGAATCACATGCAAAATTATAGTTTTGTAAATCCTAATTTTTATGTTTTTGGGCAGCAGATGGGAAGACAAAAGTTTCTGGACTAAATGGTAGCAAACATTACCTGAATTCAACCTCCTCTTAATTTCCTCCTGAATCAGGTTTTGATTTGTTATCATTGTTCCCAAACATCTGAACTGTGCCACGTTTTCAAAATATCCTATCTTTATATCATGACTTTGCCCTGCATTCTGGTGATGAGTCAGCAACATATACTTACATTTCTTTGTGTTTACTTCTAGACCAACCTCCTTACTAACACCAATTAAAGTTTGTGTGCTTTTCTTTCTGGTATCTATATTATCATCCAGTAGATTCACATCATCAGCACAGACCAACAGCTGCTACATCCCATTTAATTTCAGTCCCACTTGGTTTCCCTGGACCTTCCTAATGGCATATTCTAAAGCAAAGTTGAAAAGCAGTGGCAATAAAGCATCTCCTTGTTTCATAATATTCCGAATAGGAAAATTTACAAAAAACGTTTACCTACGTACATGGACTTCACTACACATTTCATTTAAACATATTTTAATCAGCCTAACTACTTGTAGTTTCATGGGTACCCAAAATTCTATCAGAATATTGTACAATACTTCCTTCCTAACCAAATCATAGGCTTTCTTCAAGTCTATGAATAGCTGATGTACTGTCTCACTGTATTCCCATTTTTTCTCCAGTATCAGAGGAATGAAAAAATCTGATCAGTAGTTGATATGTTATATTGAAACCCACATCGATAATCCCCAGTAATTTCATCTATGTATGGACTTAACCTTGAGATAAAATTGTGTATGAATTGTGAAGTGTTACAATAATAGACTCCTTCCACTGATCAGGCAATTCTTCCTTGCTCCAAATAGAATTAATTAGCTTACAGATCTTAGAATACTTCACCTCCTGCTTGAATCAGTTCTGTCACAATTTCATCACTACCTGGCGATTTATACCTTTGCAACTTTGCTGTAGCAAATTTCAACCTCAAAGCAGTTAGGATCAGGTACTAATGGTTCAGCTGAATGTACTTCTATCTGCCTAACATCACTGACCCTCTGTACATTCAGTAACTGAGAGAAGTAGTTCTTCCACCTATGCAAAATACTGTGGAAATCTGCATTCAGATGATCATTCTCATCCTTCACTAAGCTACTTCTAGGTTTGTAACCCCTATTGAAGTCATTTATTCCTCTATACAGGTCTCTAATGTTCTCATTCTTACCGTTTCTTGAGATTTCAACATGATATTGTTCTTTAACAGTATTACTTGACAAAGTGTATATATTAAGGTCCTCATTTTGCAGTTCTCTCTAGCCCATAGTGACAATGACAACTGCATTATCAAAACATTTACTGAGACAGACAGAGGTCCTGTATAGCCAGAAGCTGCTCAGGAAGGTAAGATGAACAAATAGAATTTAGATACATTTTATGACATGAATAAAATTAATCTGCAAATCTACTGACTGACGAACTGACCAAATATATGTAAAGTGGTAGCTGTGTGTGATCAGTTTGATTATGCACAGCAATGTTATTAGGTTCACTATGTCTTTCAACAACAGTGTAAAGTGCAAAGTGCAAAGTGGCAGTCAGCAGAAAGAAGTGAGAGTGGGGCAAGCTTAGAAGATAGGGCAAAAGCAGGGATAGAAGCAGTATCTTAACTCATAGCCTACATATTTTCCGGGGTTACAGATCGACAGGCAGCACTGTATTGACATTTTTACAATGTGTAAACAATAATACCGTTAAAATGAAATTATATAAACTGTATTTAAAAGTACATGCTCTTCAGTAAAAACACACGGTGGACTCTGAATTTCATATTAGGGAAATCCAGGGTACAAAGCTTAGCCTAGCAATCAGTAACCCTAACAGAGATTTTTAATAATTTCCTCTATTCCTTAAGGTGTTTGCTGGAACAGCACATTAAAAAATGCCATGCAGCTTCCTTTCCCATATGTTACAAATCAATTATTCACATTCCTGTCACTATTCAGCACTATAATATAACATGTGCACTTGAATAACATAATTAAATAAATGTGGAATTAATTAACAAACCCCATTATAATAGAAATCCACTAGAAGCTTAGTCATGGTCTCCCTTTATAAATATGCACAGCTAACAATGGGATCAAAACAAACTCTTCTATAAAGGTGTCAGACGAACTGTCTAACAATACACGATTCTGAAGCATTAATGTACCCTGCAAGAAAAAATAACTGACAAAGAAGGACAGCAGGTTAAGCAACATTATGATAGGTTAAGAGTTGGATAGATGACCTCACAATTTGACTCTGCCCTCCCGCCACACAGAATGCTAACAAGATGAGGCACAGGTCTGACTGGGATATATATATATCAGCCATGTGTGGTCATTCACCACACCAACCTTGATGCTAGAGATGCTGCATATCTCTGAAGCAGTAGTTTTTAACTCAACGCCGATAGGGCTGATTGCTCAAAAAGATTTCAGTGCGCTAACATACTACATTTATTGATGATCCTTATGCAAATTATCCATTGCTGTCATAGTGTTCTTCTGGTTAACCCAAGTAAAAGTCAGAGCTAAGAAGTGAAGATCCCACCTGAGTTCCTCAACTTGGCACTTCAGTTGCACTTGAAGGGCAAGAGCCCTTTCCTTCTTCTTCTCATGCTCCTGTCTCTGACGTTCCTCCTCAGCTAGTTTCATCACTTCACGTTCTTGCATTGCTTCCAATTGCTCCTTCTCTGCTTTTTCACGTTCCTCTTTCTTCTCCTGCACCTGCCTCACCCATGCTTCACGCACAAACTGACTGTGCTGCTTCCGTTCAAGCTAAACATTCACATTTTTACATTATACTGACAGTCAGAAGTAATAATCCCATCACCATAGTTTGAGGAACAGGCTGTAAGCATCTATATGTCTTACAACAACAGTCAGGTGAGTTTCAGAAATAAGCTCACCCACTCATTACAAGGCAAATTAGCAAATACACTATTAGCTTCTGTCTAAATACAGAATGTTTCATAAGCGCATGACTCAGCTAACTGGCACAGCAGTAATGCTCTTGACTTGTATCTGAGAACAGCTCAGTTCAAATCTCGGCCAGGACAAGAGCTATCCTGACTGAAGACTTCCTGGTTTTCCTTGTTCCCTCTAACTTACCACCTGGATAGTATCTCAATTAGGTCATGACTGGGTCCTTTCAAATCCTTTCCAGTTTAATATTCATCAATAATATTATGATTCAACACTAAGGTCAAGATACTTGCAGAGTAATAAAATAAACTACAAAAACAAGAAAAATCAGGTACATGGCATAGAAAGTAAACAAAAGAGTACATTACCTTTGTACTCTTTTTTTCATTTTATGTCTAGTTCTTAACTATCTTCAGCATAAATAATTTTTTGAAGCATTCTGCAAGACTGTAGGTGAGGGGCTTTTAGTAGGAGGTTAGTTAACTGAAGCTGTTTTCTGAAGCCCTGTATGGGAATTCAATGTAATTTTTCCCCCTTTATTAAATAAGTTGGTCTTGATGTTCATTAATTTCTGATAAAGATATTGTGGCAGGACACTCAAAATTTAACAGAATACATGTTCTGTGGAAGATGATCGAAGACATCTAAATGTTCTTTGATTTAACATATAACAGATTAAGCTCTCTTTGGGCCAACAGATAAGAAATGTCACACACTATGATACCAACCTCTCTAATGGAGGGTTGCTTCACTCTCCATTGATGATATAATTTCAATTCTGCTTCTCTACGTTGATTTTCCTCCTCACGGCGCTTTAACTCATAATTGACGGACTTAAGTTCTTCAAGTGGGATTCGGTGGTGACTATTATGACGGCCTTTCTGTCGAGCTAGCTCTATTTCATACTGACTATTTTCAGAGTACAACAATGCTGATAATCTCTGTCGACGTTCTTGTAAATTCTGAGCCCTCTTTTGCGCTTCCAGTGCCTTTTTATATACCTCCATACTGAAAGAGAAAATTATAGCATACCAACTGAAAATCATGTGGCATGTGGTTAGTGAAAAGAGGTGACAAAACATTTTTCATCACCTCATTTCACTAACACAGATGCTCCTCTATTGGTTAGCATCCTCCTCCTTTGCTCATCCAATCATCGGCTTCACCTCAGAGACACTGCCTAATGCAAGAGATACAGCAACCCTCCCAAAGCATTAACCCTCCAGATGGCGACTGCAAGGTTTTACCTACATGTTGGAAAAATCCTAACATTTAATGCAGCCCACTCCCAAAGTATAAATCACACATTGAGCTGTAGCTGTGTAACCCTAATGGCCATAATTACAATAAAGGAGCTTAGGTATTAAAATCAACAAGGCATTTCAATCACCCACAAATGACCTGCAAGGGTAAATAAATTACATGTAATTCAGTCTGTTGAACATATTATGACATGTAGATCCACTTATAAGAATTGGCCAAAAATACGCATAAGCAACAACAGGGTATTGCAAGACGTGTTTTCTATCTAGTCTGCACTGTGCCCATTGCTACGCAACGGGTCGCTAAACACATTGCCAGAGTTACGCTCTCAACAATAGAAGGGCATCCATTGCTACATAACATGCCAATAACACGCATTCTAGGACAACAGAAGAAAAGTGTTTTCTGTGGGGTCTGTGCCAAGGAGTTATAAGTGAGTTGAATTCTGAAGCTAGAAGCTGTAGAAGTACAGGAGAGTATAAGGAGTACAGTAGAGAACAAGAATGAGAATGGAGCATTTCCTAGCGATTTATGAAGTGAGAAGATTAGAGAAAGTAGTATAATTGACTGTGATTAAGAGAGATTGTAAAAGAAGGTGTCAATAATTCCAATCAAGAACCTGTTATTTTTAGTAATGGAACCCCTAACATGTGAAAATATCTATCTTCCAATGATCTCGGGTTTGTGGCATGATTTCTCCACCCTACTTCTGAGATTCAGTGACAAATCCTAAAAATCTATGACCTCTTCCTCAACACTCTGTCAATCACATGACTTAATCAAGGCAAAATGGGAAGAGGGAATGTAAACAGTAATCTTCAGTATGAACTCCTTAGACACAAAAAGAGAATGAAAGATGAAAAACAGAGACACAATGTGAAATAATTTCCACAGTTGTGGTATAATAAGTAATGCTAAATAGAATGTACGGACTGCCATAAGCTGAACCATGAATCAGCAGTGGTCTATGGACTATTGGCTGAGAATAACTAAGCATGTGTTGCACTAAGATAATTACAGAGCGGCCTCCGTAGTCTAGGGGTAACGTTCCCACCTCGTGACTCAAGGTACGTGGGTTCAAACCCAGCGGAGGTCGTGGAATTTTTAAGGGCGGAAAAATTCAGGGAACAAGTCCTCAGGGAGGGACTTTAAGCCGTGGGTCCCGTGTCGTAGCTTTATGGCACGTAAAAGAACCTCATGTCTCAAGGGACCTCTGAGCCAAATTCAGGACATTTCCCGCCCAACAGTAGTCTCTAACGCCTCTGGTAGAGGGGGGAAGCATTGAGATACCGCAGAGACAGTAGAGGCCAAACTCTCTGGCTGAGTCAGGACTGATGGCACGCACCAGTACCGGTAGGGTATAGAGACTGGCTAGAATATCACAGGGGGACCCACAATGGACCAATATCTGGTCTAAGTGCATGGGGTAACCCACCCTCTCCAATAACAACAACAACAAGATACTTACAGCATGTGTTGTATTAAGATACTTACAACATGTGTTGTATTAAGATACTTACAGCATGTGTTGCACTAAGATACTTACAGCATGTGCTGTACTAAAATACTTACAGCATGTGAGCACTAAGAACAAACTCCTTACATGAATACAAAGTACTATCTACATTCTTGTTACGTTACCAAACAAACAAGTCTATTATATTATATTCTATTCTGTTCTGTTCTATTCTATTCTATTCTATTCTCATCACAAATGTCAGACAGACAATTATTGATAATGACCTCTGATTATAGTAATGAGGTGAAGCCCAATCATTGTGTTTACTGGACTGTACATCCCAGGTATGAAAGTACTGAGTTACTCCATTCCACAATTGCTGACGATCCCATTCAGAATTCCGACGCCTCACGAGGGCCTCTTCCTGACGATTCCGTCGAGAATATGATGAGGCAGACGTCACAACACTCTGACGACCTGGCATGACTGCCCTGTAACAAACGAAAATTAAACAATGAAAAGTTTGTTGTTCTATTTCAGATTTTTGCATTAGCAGCAATGAATGGCAGCAAAACGAGTATACGTAAATAATCAAATTCCTTACTTATTACAACAATCTTATGAATGTACCTTATGTCTTAGCCCTAAAGCAAATAAAAATGAGATAATGAAAATACTGATTTAATTTCAAATTCCTGTATTATCTGCAAAGAATGGCACTGAAAACGCCAGTACTTAACCCGTTTCCTTTCTTAAAGTAACTGTACTCCGAAAGAAGCAGTCTTTTGCCTGAATTTCTTTAAATTTCAGTACTGGAATGAATCAAATCTGTTTTTTACTACAACATTTATGAATATATACCTCCGTTGACCGGACCAGGGCTAGGGTTGTCGGTATAGCTACTGGTTATGGGCTGGGCAACCGAGAAGTCGGAATTCGAGTCCCGGTAGGGTCAAGAATTTTCTTTTCTCCACGTTTTCCAGACCGGCTCTGGGGCCCACCCAGCCTCCTATCCAAAGGATACCTGGGGCTCTTTCCCCGAGGATAAAGCGGCCAGAGCGTGAAGCTGCCCACTCACCTCCAACTAGTGCCAAGATCAAGAAAACTTGGATCGATACATCCACTTCCTCACTTGCCTTCACGGCGTATTGCTTAATTACTCGTAGTTAAGCATGGGGACAACTTTACCTTTTTTTTTTAATAAGAAGAATTCACTGGTCATGTGGCACATATGTTGAGGAAGAGGTATGCATATATGATTTTGGTGGGAAGGCCAGAAAGAGACAGATACTAGGAAGACTTAGACGTAGGTGGGAAGAGAATATTATAAAATGGATCTTCGATCAATAGGATGAGGTTGTGGGGATTAAATTGATCTGGTTCAGGACAGAGACCAGTGGTAATGAAAATTCGGGTTCCATAAAGTGTTGTGAAGTTCTAAAGCGGCTGAGCCACTGGCGGCTTCTCAAGAAGGATTCAACTCCATGGAGTTAGTTAATAAGAAGTCAAGTGCGAACATGATGAAGTACTCGATCCAGGGCTGGTTTTTTATTTGAAAGTTGCTGGAGAGACAGGGGAAGTCCCTGGTAATGACCGCCTAACCATAACACTATGTGTAGGCATATACACAAGCACCTACATAAACAAACGAATATGTTTTCATTACCTTCTAAGGACAGGTCTACAAGAAAATATGTACAGGGGTTGGACAAAATAATGGAAACACTACTACTGTACCTCGACAAATGAAAGCCAATGCAGAACTGGAATTTCAAACAAGGATTTCCGAATGTCTCGAAGCTGTATCAACTGATTACTCGTCTATTATACGTTCTTTGCACAAGTGCAACAAGTGAACGCAGACGAGGAAGGCCGTTCCGACCATCTGTCCACATGTCACACCTCCAAAACCACTGAATTTCCATAAAATTTAGCATTAGTGGTCTACATATAAAATTTATTGGGGAATTCCGTTTTGTGAGATTATGGTTCTCACGGCGGTGATTATCAAAAGTAGGCCTACGCTACTGTCTTTAGGAATGTGACGCCGTATAGTTTGGTAGTTTACCGTGGTTTGAGAAATGTACCGCAGAACTGTCGCTTGCTTGGCTTACTCTTCCGCCCTGAAGATGGAGGCGCCAGTGAACTTCGTATCGGTCTGCTACAACAATTACATCACAGTAAAACTGAACTTCACAGATCTTCTCAAAAAAGAACTGCCGTATAAACTGATAAAAATTTTAAAAAGGTAAAGTTGTCCCTGTGGTCAATTAATTAAACACCACACCATGAAGATGTATGGGGGATTGGAGGTATAGCTCCGCCATTTCTGACCTCGGTAATAGGTGACAGTAGTCATCATCATACTCCGGCCATTTTACCGCGGGGGAAAGAGCCCCCGGCACCCACTGGGTAGGAAGCTGGGTGGGCCCCAGAGCCGGTCCGGAAGGTGTGGAAAAATATATATCCCGCTCCAGTCGGGAATCGAACCCCGGCCGTCCAGCCCCCCATTCTAGTTGCTGTATGTTATTAAAACGACATTTCTTTAAGATAACATTTATTTTAGACGTTTCTAGGCAGGTGAATTTGAATTAACACTGTGATTATCCGCAATGTAAGATATGTATTCGCAATACATACCAATCACTCTCAATTAGGTGTGATAAAGAGCAAAGAACGCTCTGGATAATACATGTACGTTGCAGGAATGCATCTTAATTATGTGCATACCAATCATTATCAGGGAATTAATTAAGCTAGATTAAGTTACAAGAAAGCCGCTCACGGTAGATGAGCGGTCTAAGGCATGTACTGTCTTTGATCGCTCGGAAGCCGGGATCATGGGTTCGAATCCCGCACAAGACATGGATGTTTGGTATGTGTGTGTTTATTCTGTGTTTGTGTTGTCCTGTGTTTAGGTAGAGGCCTTGCGACGAGCTGATGACTCGTCTAGGGAGTTCTACCGTCTGTGAAATGATCAAAATGAAAAAGCAACCTCGACACCGTAAGGCATTAGAGGAACGGATTAAGTGAGTATGATCTGGTAATTATGAGGCAAGAATTGATCGTGATTTATTATATTACATTACACTGCATTTGCATTCCATGGATCCAAAGTTAGTCAAAATGACTGTAGGATGTGGAATTTGTCATATAAATACAAAATACATGTACAGCCCCAATGGAGTTCTCACACAAGCGAATGTGTCTCACATTCCAATGTTCGACAGGAAGAACTGGGGAAAACAACTGATAAATTAGTGTCATTGGTGTCCGTAAGTAATGAATCCAAGAGACTTAATAAGGCAGCGTTAGTGACATGGTACCTCCAGTATATTCCCAGCATTCGCTTGTATACATATGTTGTATCTTATTAACAGTTCAGTTCAGTCTGTTAAATATTTCTTACGCTGCGGATAAAGAATTCCGTAACTGTTTCTGCACATCAGAAGTAACNAGCGAGTTCATTCTAACGATAATATGGCACGCAACGAATGGCGTAACAGAGTCAACTACTGCGTTTTGTAAACGCAATAAAATTTCAGCGGAACCGCGATATTACGCTTCAAGGAACCAATCCTATCTCTACATTTACGTGACATTATAAAGGAGAGTCTTGCACCAAAAACGACTGGTACGCGACTCTAAACTGAACACACTCATATGTAGATCTACTATAGAAACATCAGAGGGTAAAGGCGAACCGCGCTTAACGCCGCGGAATATGATGCTTCATGAAAAACTAATACTCATTCAGTCAAGAAATTATCCGCTTTTTATGAAACCCAAAGATTCAATTCCGTCTTCACGTAAACTAGTTCCAATTCTGATCCAGATCAATTAAGTCCCCATCACCAAGCCTCATTTCTCTAAATTACTTATACCCTTCTTACTATTCCTGGAATATTCTTGGGGGTAAAGGGCAGCCGGCGCGTAGGGCTGACAACCTTATCGCCATCTATCAGCCAATTGTCTAGAAAATTTGGAAACTTCAACATTTCACAATGTTATGGGCCTCCACGGCCTGGTACAGGGATGTTTACTTTAAGGGGCACGCGGTAGCGTAGTTGGTTGAGGCACTATGCTACAAGCCGGATGGTCGCGGGATCGAATCCCGATGATGTCATTGGATGTTTTTCAATTTACCTAATCCTCCCAGCCGCACTATGGCCGTGGGATCGACTCAGCCTCTAATAGAAATGAGTAGCAGGAATATTCTTGGGGGTAAAGGGCGACCGGCGCGTAAGGCTGACAACCTTACCACCATCTGAGCCGATTGTCTAGAAAATGTGGGAACCTCAACATCTCACAACCATATCGGCCTCCAAGGCCTCTTACAGGGATACTTTTACTTACTACCCTTACGTTTTCTACGAGATCGCTTCCGCTCAAGTTTTCTGATTAAAATCCTGTACTCGCTTCTCCTCTTTCCCATGCATGCCACACGCTACCTACACCATATCCTCTTTCATTTGATGAGGTCACTGGATTATTTCAATTGATCTAATCCTTCCAGCCGCACTGTGGTCCTGGGGTAGACTCAGCCTCTACCAGAAATGAGTACCAGGAAACTTCCTGGGGGTAAAAGCCGGCCGGCAGGCGCATAAAGCTGACCTCACCGCCATCTGTGGGCTGACTGTCTAAAGAAAATGTGGGAGCCTCGACGTCTCACGACCCTACGGGCCTCCACGGCATGTTACAGGGATAGCTTTGTCTTTTCTTTAACCATTAAATAACATCTATTGACGACTAGGCATACAAATTACGAAGCTCATCATTATAAAAAGTTTCTCCAGCAAACTGACACTTCCTTCTCTTAGGTCCTTATACAAGTATTCTCCATAGCAAGCTGTTCTGACCTCAATCTACGTAGAGCTCGATTACTATGTTATAGCACAAACCTGGGAGGAGGTAAAGTGATGCGGGAAAAAGTATAGGGGAGTAACTCCGATGCAAAAACCAGGTGCCATCAGCGAATTGATCTGTCTACCCCTCATATCAGCTATAAGATAATATGAACTCGTCCGTTGGGCCCATTCACGAAAACTATCCATTGCGCATGTGTCATTACAATGTAATCAAGCTCTACTACCCAAAAGACTAAGTTACAATTACGAAACTTGAGGAAAAATTACAGTTTATTTTATTCTTTACGTCTTTTTAGGTATGAAATTGGAAGGCGAAGGTTTTGAAATGTTCTTGTAATCTTAATACAGCCTCTAGTTTATCTGTATGATGTTATTTGACACTTTCAGTGATGCTGTTGTATTCCGGGGAACTACCACTGAAAAACACGATCTTCAGGAGCCACACTAACAACAGTATAAAATGTTACATAACTAACATCAAAGGAGGAAGATGCAGGTGGAAATACCATGTAACAATAATAATAAAAGCACTTTCGAGGTAATTGGTCTTTATTACAAAATACCCACACACAGATAACGGCTGGGTTGCAATTATTTAAACGAGTTTTAAATGCTACAAGGAA